AGCTACTAGTAACAAGTGCCTTACTAGTAGTAACAAGAAGCTACTAGTAAAAAGCGCCTTACTACTAGTAACAAGAAGCTATTAGACACAAGAATCTAGTTTGGGACCTTAGCCACCGCCGCCCATGAGCACCCTCGATTAAACTGTTGAATCCAGCCTTAACACCTACCGCAAGGACCCCGAGTGTGTCCACACGGAAAACGGTCAGCATCACCGGATCTGGAGATTGTGAGACAAAGCAGCAAAGGTGCAGCAAGTGGCACATGATTGTCGTGAAGCAACGCCCTGCTCCTTCCGTCAAACACTTAGAGAGGATGCAGCAACAACTCAGAAGTCAACCATGAAATAGTTCAACAGCGGCAGCCAACCCCTGCTCCGCAACACAAGTTACCAACATTGTTTTTCCACACTGCTGACCGTACTGAGCGTAGGACATCCGTACGATGGCTGCAGGGCTCCCCTGGCGACAAATCGATGGAAGGTCCCACAAGGTCGCAACCATTCACTAAGCCCAAGTCTTCTACCTGCAACAAGCCTGCAATCTACAAGCAGGTCAGCAGAACGATTTTCAGGCACAACATGGCGTATGTGCCAGGGGCCGGCCCGAGGCAAAACCGCGAGATGCAGGTACTGTTGCACAGGTTGAGGTGTGGCACTCGGGCTCAAGTTGCTTTGCACATCGGCGTATCACACAATACCAGAGATTGAACGGCTCATAGTCGTCCCTGTCGGAAGATTCAGGGAAACATCCAAGTTCAATTGTGTGGGGGGTGTAAAGAAGGATGGTTTGTTTCACTTGTAATGGAAATGCATTCCAGGATTCCATGTCCTAGGGCGAGCCGGGCGAGCATAGTGGCGTTCATGTATGTTCTTGTGAGTCTGAACCAACATTTTTCCTCGCCTCATATTGACACAGCTTGTCGTGTGCTTTGCGTTTTGACTTTGGTAACCTCATAAACTTATATAGTTGATCCTGGAACAACGCTACTATTCCACGCAGTCGGCTTGCAGTGCTGATCTGGGCCCTAGCGACCAGTCTCCAGGAAAGGATGTGTGGAAGAGCCACTCCAGAATGCTTGTTCCTCTCACTCACATGAATCACCACCATCCATTCAGGTTTTGCCACCAGTGTGCAATTCCACCTCAACCATCATAAAGTCGGACCACGGTACAAGTGAAAACGTTTACCATGTAAAATCACTCGGTTGCACAACTGGTGACAACAAGGATAGAGCAATGTTCACCGTTTGTGTTCTACCTTGGCCGAGCAAGTTGCTTTGTGCCTGCTGCAGCCACATGATCAAGAAATTGACACAGGAATCCGCCAAGCCCAAGCCAAGGTCATGCCGCTAGTTGTAGAAACATCATTGTCATGCCTAAGCCATGCCTGCGGACACAAAATTTCACTGCATACCAAATCCAAGTTAGGCTCGACGTTGCAGTTCCCTGTGCTATGGCTCTGTGCAAGTTCTTGCTGGCCCCTGCCCCAATGCTAGTCTAGTGGCCTTTGCATATTTCTCACGGCAAGCAAGTTCAATAAAACCTGCTTGAGAGAGCATCGAGGCAATTGAAGAACCAAGAACACTGTAGTAGGCTACGGTTAAGGTAAACACTATCTGGTTCTTCGATTGGAACGGGCAGCGCCGATGGCGACAGCACTTAAAACTGCTGCCGGGAGGGCATTTTTGCTACCCTTTTCTTGGCTGCTTGCTTTTCCTTGTGCAACGCATCTCGTTGGGCCAGGTACTCGTTGCGTAGCTTCACGTGGATCTCATGATGACAAAAGTTGCAAGCCTGGCCTCTCAGACAGCCTTTCGGAGAACCGAAGAAGGTGCATGGGCGGCATTCGGTAGGGTGCGCCCGCACCCCATGCGCTGGTGCTTTGTAAGAACCTGCAGCACAGAAACAAAAAGATCAAAATGTGACAAGTTTGTTCAAACACTTTCGCAAGCAATTGCGATGTTACCTGAAGAGTACTGGCTCGCTTGACGACGTTTTTACCTCCAAACAAAACAGCGCGTTTTGCAACAAGAATGCGAAGACTATCGACCAAGTGGTCTGCGGTGCAAACATCCCAACCTGAATCCGTTGGGGACGAAGTCAGTCGCGGTTTCAGACTCTCGTGCAAGTGATCCTCGTCATCACTTCGTGGGGTTAGGGCAAAACTCAACATCTTGCTTTCGAGCCAAACTACTGCGACGCGAACTATGCGATCTAAAGCTTGCTTTCGAGCATGTACAGCAAGGTAGCGATGGCCTCCAACCTAACTCAGAAGCCGATGCTTTCGCGCAACATAGAGCCATCTTCACATCAATTAAGCCCTTGAACCAACGCTTGCAGGGGCTCACTTTTTGCAATACGTCACAATGGAACGGACCTCACATATCTCGTGAGTGGCCGGGTAGCAAATGAGAGCCCCTCTTCCACCTTGCCCTTTCCAAACGAGGCATGAGGCTTTGCAAAGAGCATTGTCTACCGGCGACCACTGGCCCATACAATATATTGCCAAAATTTACCTTGGCACAGATTGTCACAAGCTGTACATGGGTTCAAACCAATTAGTCTGCCAACTCACACTTCCCCCAGGTGTGTTCGCACTCGCCAGTCGTGTAGCACCAGTCATAGCCGTCGGAGTTGGGATCACCACATGTCCCCGCAACTTGGCCTCCTTCAAAGGTCCAACCCTTCGGCTTCCTCTTGCACCTGCAGCCATCTGTGGTGAAGCCAGTGTAGATGGCACACCATTCCAAGTGGCCCTCCTCGCACCGACAAAAGGGTCGAGGGTTGAAGGTGCCAGCCTTAAATTCTTCATTCTTGCAAACTGTTCCAGTCCCCGAAGAACTTTGCCCACAAGTGCATGTCGCTGGTTTAATTGAAGTGCCTGGGCAAAGGTCGCAATCGTGGGACCAGACTTGCTCCTGTGCACCTCCCTCTCCACAACCGCAGCAATAAGTTGCAGATACCCACTTGGAGCAGTCGCCATTTTTTTTGTAGGCATCACAACCTGAGCCCCACTTATCAGCCCAAGGCTTGCCATCCACAATCATGTCAGTGCACTTGGTGTCTGTCAGCAGTGCACTCACACAATACCCTCGCTCAGCAGTATAGAGGTCTGCCAGCTGGTCGGCATCCAGCTGGGTCATACCCACGCGGTTCCCCATTTTGATCTTCTCGCGCTCGGTGCCGGAGTAGCTCGCAAAGGCCTTGTCTCTGGCTACAATGGTTGGCTTTCCATTTGTACTGAAGGCATCAGCTGAATAGTGCATGATGGAAAGGAGGTCATACGGACGAGCCATATCCCCTTCTTCTCCTACATCAAAGTTGTGTTTTTGTCCTGCTTTGATGCGTGATTCATAGACATATACATAAGCATCCCGGTCCGGGCGGGACTGCTCATGCGCCATGCCTAAAGCATGAAGAATCTCATGAATCACAATGCCCATAGTCAAACAGCCATTGGCCAAGTTCAATCCTTGCGACTTCTTGTGGGTTAACATACCAACATAGGAGTTGCAACCGCCAGTCCACCGAGTGAACAGGACCGCTGGCGACTGTGCGCATTTTCCGTCGTAGTTTTGAGTGTAGTCGGCCCAGTCATACCCTACATCTGTGAACTTGATGCATGGGACTGCCTTCGTGATGGCCTTCATTGCTTTGTCAACTGCTTCTTTGTATCCTTGATGCTTTTCAGCTTGAGGATGAATGCAGTATTTCATGTCAGCACCCTTCCAGGGCTTCCCAGCGCCGAAACGCCTCTTTTTCGCAGAGAGCCTCCTGGCTGCCTTGAGGCCCATAGGTCCTCCCAGCTGTGCTTTCATCGCGGCATCAATGAAGTCAAGCAACTGCTGCTCATTCTCAGGCTTCATGTCCCCCTGGAAGCAATCCTTACACTCGTCTTCCACGGTTTCAAAATGACCTTGAAGGTTGGTCACATTGAGAATCCTAGAGATATCATCGATGGTAATTTCAGCCCCGAGATGAGCGGCCTCTGCCGGCCCCATTCGAGACGACATGGCCTGCAACAAGTCCATGATCTCCTTGGCGTCTTCCTTCAACTTCTGGGGATTGTTGGCTGAAATATCTGACTCCACATCATGTGCTTCTGCCCGAAGCTTGGCATCATGTACCAAAGTCAATATGACATCAGCCAAATGTTCAATTCGACCTTCAGAATGATTGAACTGCTGTGCCTCGACACTGGTGTGGGTTGAAGCGGACGAAGGAGCTTCGGCCAACTGAGAGAAACGTCCAGAATGAGTTGAGGAAGCGCTCTTCTGAAGCAACGCAACCAGAGCCAAGCAGAAACAAGGAGATGAAAGCTGCCTTAGCTGAAGATGCAAAAGAAAGCACCTTTCGAAAACAATAATTGTTTTCGTTTTAGGAGATAGTAGGTTCATGAGCGGTGTGCTACTAGCGGTAGTGATGACAGGAAAGCTGCACGAGGGACCCAAGCCCGTCTCTGGCCACCGGACACGTCCAACAATGGTGCCTCTTCGCACTCTGCCCTCACCAGGGTTGATGCCATCACAGAGGACGGAGTCAAGGGAGTCGGAGTGTGCAATTGGCAGCTTGAACCGCAAAGAAGCAAAAACAAGGTTCGCTACTAGGAACAAGTGCATCGCTTCTAGTCACAAGTGCCTTACTAGTAGTAACAAGAAGCTACTAGGAACAAAAGCAAAGAAATCAAATAAACAACCATTATTCATCACATTCAGCGATGGCCTCCCTAATAGGAACGGCCTCCAACCTAATAGCAAAAAAATGATTCAATATGATTCGTCACATTCACATCAGCAGAGGAAACTCACTCTGTCAGTTTTCCTGCTAGGAGCTCTATCTTGGCATGCGCACCGTGTTTCTCCAGATTCACGGCAGGCGTGCGCACCATGTGTAAACAAAAGCCTTGATCTACATAACTCTTGTGGAAAAGGCCTTGTGTTGAGCTTCCATTGAGTTGGTGGACTTCGAGTGAAGCTAACAAGTCTTGGTGGTGTTGCGGAGCTGGCTTTCAGCTGAGGATTGAGCGTTTTGTGTAAGGACGGCGGATGTCAACGCCTCAATCTGCCGTCATGCTATGTCGGGGAAAAAAGAACATGAATCATATTCCTGCTTGGTATACTTAGTGACCTCAACGGTTCTCAAAATGAAAAAGGGAGGATGCTTTCGGTTCTGTTGCACAGCCAACGACGACTCATGTTAAACATCGGCACCGTGGCTTTGAGGGCGAATGAGAGATTGCACATGAATGGCGCACAGACCCAAAAGCACGGAAGTATGAAGATGAGCTCTGGTAGCAGGACAGTGATGGAGCGAAGGGAGTGGCCCAATCAACCAGTCAGAACAGCTCTGGCCCAACAGCAAACATGACAAGGAGTCCAGGGGCATTTGCAAAATCGTAGACCCGAACCAGCCAACAGTCACCAACGAATCAATTGACTATATTGACAGACCGGAGTCTGTACATAGTCACGTACTTATACTATTTACAAGTACTTTCCAAAGGCCTCAGGTCACTTGAAGGCACTGCAGGTCAATTCATTCATTCACTAATTCAATCGACAACTAAGCAAAGTTTCTGCAACGTCTTATTGTCAGTCAAGCCGTCTAGGCTTTTTTCCAGTCTCTTCGGTTTGCCAGTTTGGTTGGAGGATGCGTCGCGGCCTTTCTGTTGAATGCTCGTCTAGTCAAAGATGGTCACCGCCTTTGCTCGAACCCAGGGGGACAACCTTTCACTCGATTGCAGTTGCGCTTGCAGTTGCACTTGCTTCGCTTGCTTCTGGCTGTTGGTCACACAAACAACGGCGACCATAACCACACTGTCCTGTGGTATGAATCTCACTCATCACTACTTTCGTGCTTCTCCTCTTCTGGAATTTGCCTATGATTATGTGATCATGTGTATGTGAAGATTTACAAGTTTTTACACTGTGAATATCTGTAAAATAGTTTATTGATCCGTCTTCCATGTTGTCAAAGTCGTTTTTGCAGGTTCTATTGAACAACAGAACCCGGACATTTGTCTACATTCATTCTGGCGGGAATTAGTAGGTTGGAGGCCATCGCTTCTAGGTTGGAGGCCATCGCGAGTAGGATATTAGGTTCCTTTTGCTATTAGTAAGGTTGGAGGCTATCGCAAGGCCTTTGAACCAGTTTGGCTCTTTAGCCAGCTCTAGAAGTGGCATATAGTGGCATCTTCGTCTCACGACTGCACCCGTCGTTCAATGCAAATCGCAAGTGACACTGAGAGTGGTCGTTGTGGTTGATAATTTGGTGTCACTGTTGTCGTTCAGTGTCCAAAGGCGGTTCCGGAACCGCCGTTGAAGAGCATCAACGGTTCAAAGCTGAGGTTGCTGCGGTCCCCCACCTGGATTTAAGCCTAGACTCTTTCCCCCAGGTGCCGCATAAGACCAGAGTGCACACGGGAAGTAAAGAAGCTCTCTAACTGCTATTCAGGGAAGCTCTGGCGACATTGTTGGGCATAGCAAATTGATGCTAGATTTGGTCAGCAGGCAGTGGTAACAGTAGCAGTATCAGTGCAGCAGGCAGCAGTGCAGCTGTGCAGTGTCCAGGTATGGGGCCATACTTTCACGTTCAGTGCCGTGCTCCTTTTTGCGAAGGCACTCGCTGCACCCCTTGCCTAAACACCCGAGATGTTTCTACCGGTTCGAAAAGCGGGCAACATTCCTTCGGGTATGTGGCCCAAATAGTTCGGGAAATACAGATGTAGTCCGTAACTATTGGAGCTTGAGAAGCTCGGTCGTTCGGCGATATCTTGTGTGAATCGCAACAGGTTCTTCAATTATGTGCGCTTTCCCGTTCTGGCTCTGGCTGCCGATAAAGTGCGGAGCTGTAACATGGTGACCACGGAAGTAATAAGAGTGTTGAAAGAGCTGAAGCAGCAAACTGAAACTTGGCAACTGTTGCACGCCAGTTTGTGTCTCACAAGCCTTCAGCGCCTTCGCTTGCGCCTCTGTGGTCGTGAAACGATAAAACAAACAATGAAGCTTTGAGGCTCACTCAGCGCGGTCGTGAAGCTCCTCCTGGTGGATTTCATGCAGCAAGACAAGAAGTTCATGCCAAACGAAAAACGATGGCCTCCAACCTACTTGCGATAGCCTCAAACCTAATAGCAATGGCCTACTTGCAATGGCCTCCAAATTAGATGTAAGTGTTTGTATCTAATGATGTATGACGATAGGACGTGTACTTATCAAAAGCATGCTGTCCATGTCCATGAGCTCATCCAGCTTGTGCTTGAGAAAGGTCCTCAGCCACATCACTGGGACTAAATTGATGGTGCACGACGCAAATTTTCAGGCAAGCACATCTAGTTACTAGAAAGCTTTGCTAAGAAGCTTCAAAGACATACTTAAAAACTTCTTGTTGCTACGGGTGAAACGATTCCCGGGGAAACACGTCATACACATCTCTCTTGTTTGCGTGGCAGTCACTCACACAGCTGACACGGCTGTCCTCTTCGAATATCTCATCATCGGGGATCACCTGCAGACAGGTTGGACAAGTCTGGTCCACAGAAGCATGCACAGGCACGGAGAAAGGCAAGGAGGAAAAGAAAAAGAGTGAGACAGAGAAACACAAAGAAATACAGAAATGATTGAGAAGAGATAGAGAAATCAGTGTGTGTGTGTGTGTTGTTCTTATCCTCTTTCCCTGTCTCTTCTTTGTGTTCCCAAATTAAGACAACTAAGATCTTGCAAACCAAAAGGTGGTGCCTTTGCACTGAAAGACTGTTTCTCTATGTGTTCCTCGGTTGTTCCTTCTTCTATACTTTTTCTGGGTTGCTCCGTTGTGTGCTCTATGTTCTTCTTATTTCTGAGTCTTATTATCATTGTTATTATTCCTTCTTCTTATTTTTTCTTCTTCTCCTTATTCTTCTTTCTTCTCATTTCTTCTTCTCACTGTCAGTTTCTCGAATAAAGAAGAAGTTCCACTTAGTCTCAAAGACCGAGAACAAACTTTCAAACTGAAATGGCCCACCCCTTGCTGCCTTGCCACCTTGCCTTACTTACAGCAGTGCCCTGGTGTGGCAAACACAAATCGTATTCATTTAGGGTGTCATTTGCTCTTAGTAACTTGGTCTTTACCTGTACAAAACTCCACAAGGTCTTGGATCTTGGTCACGAAACCGGTCACGACCAGCGCTTGTCTCGGAGATTCGCGCCTCCCCCACATCGAGCCTCAGAGCTTTGCCTGGAGAGAAAGTGCGATGCTGCGCCAGGAAGATGGAGGTAGCTAGTAGCTAGTAGTAGCTAGTAGTAGCTAGTAGTAGCTAGTAGTAGCTAGTAGTAGCTAGTAGTAGCTACTAGATTCTAATGGTAATGGCTTCCAACCTACTTATTACCTGCAATGGCCTCCAACCTAAGCGCCTCTGTGACGCATGTGTGTTCATGCTTTAAAAGAGTTACACCTGAAGCAGTCTTGCGCTATTCTGAGTGTGCACTCTAGCATGTGTTCAGCAAGGTCTAAGACTTAAAAGCATCCAAACCAAACGTGGCCTCCAAGAACGAAAGCATTATATAAGAATGTCTGCCCTTCCATTCGCACAGCCGGGGCAACAAAGGCCAAGGTTGAACAATCCAAGTTGGACCTCGCTGAATCTCTTAGGCAAAACGTTGTTGATTTACAGTGGTGCCAGTATAGTTTCAAGATATGGCAATTAAATGAAAAGAGGAAGAGGGTCTAAAGAAAAAGAGAAAACGTCTAGAGTAAAAAAGAGAAGTATGACGGACACACTAAAGAGTTTGTGTATTTTTATGTTTTGCATCTTAGGTTTCGGAGAGGTCAAACACTGTGGCATGCCAGGCACATCATATGCCCAGTAGAGCTTTGAGTGTGTGCAAACATGCACTCAGCACAGGCAGACGAACCAAAACGGAGATGAAAACAAGTGGGAAGTACTGCCACAGCAAAGCCTCCTCCTATCAACAGCACTGCCACATCATGCTAACTGAAGGAATTCTATCCCCATCTGGTCTTGTGCTGACGATCGGAAAGGCCGATGCATTCACTAACATTCGAGCCCAAAAGGGTCCAGAGTACATAGGTCCAAAGGGCATAGACATGTATGGCCTAGCAAAGTGCAGCAACTGCAGCTGACTACAACTTCACCGAATACATGGACCATGATGAAGTTGTAGTCAGTAAACAATGCTCGTCAAGTTGAGTTCTGGACAAAGGCCATCAAGCTGCCAAGCCTGGAGGCATGAATGTCTGGCACTCCGATGCCATGTTCTTCCGCCAAACAGAATGCTTAAACTGAAGTGAAACTTCAATGTCTGGACATGATGATATGGGTTGTTGAAACAAAAAGTTGCAAATGAAAGGGCCAACACTAGGAAGGAACCAAGGACTGCCAAGGACCGTAAATCAAGCGTGATGAAAAATGCCTCAAGTATACAAGTAGAAATCATGTCCTTGACATGGTTCCTTCAAACACACATGAGCTTCTACTAGCTTCTTGTTACTACTAATAAGGCACTTGTTACTAGAAGCGATGCACTTGTTTCTACAAGCTAGGTGCCAAAATGCCGATGCGGAATGAAGCTGCGCCTGTCGAGAGCTTTTCAGCTGTCCCATTGCTCTGGTTGCTGCAGCTGTGAGGAGGCCACGGCCTGTGGATCTTCGTTTTGCAAGGACGCTACTAGGAATAAAGGGCATCGCTACTAGGAGCAAGAAGCTACTAGATTCTATATACAGAATAAAGAACACCTTTAATTGTTCATGTCTATTAGAAATAATCCTCTTCTATCCAAAGATATGTCCACTTCCTTTGGGCGGATGGCCATGAAACTCGAGCGCAAAAAATAGCACAGACACTGGACACAAGGCCACATGCCAAGCAAAGGCAATATGACCAATTGGCCTTGTGTTTCACAACTTTGAACCACATGCCAAGCTAAATGTTTCACAAAGGTTTTAATGTTACGAGCTCTTCAGCTTGGCCTCCCGATGCTGTGATGCTTTTCCCTGTCAAAGGCCTGCCAATAGGTGCAAAACTCAGGTTGTTTGTGGAATCAATTTCTAATAGCTTCTTAGTTACTACTAGTAAGGCACCTGTTACTACTAGCGTGGCACCTGTTACTAGTAGCTTCTTTGTTGCTACTAGCGTGGCACCTGTTACTAGTAGCTTCTTTGTTACTACTAGTGTAAAGCACGCAGTTGCTCAGAGTAGTGAAACTCGGTCCCTGAGGAGCTTTGTTGCGAGTGATGTTGACAGGTGCTGGCTTTCAACCAAAATCCCATGTCACCAAGCCTCAGTGCAGCAATGAACTCCTCGGGTGTCAAGGTTCCAGCCGTCTTGGCCAGGCCTTGTTTCGGAGAAAAGGGTCATCATGGTCATCTGAGCAAGCTATGTTGCAGTGAACGTCCAGAGAAAAATGATAAAGAAAACACGTGTTTTACCTTCTATATGGAAGAATTCTGATGTGTTCTTCTCCTATTGGCCTCCTAATTAACGCTAGTTAGAGAAGGTCAACAGCCGCCTTCCGGAGCTGTAAAGAGGCTGGAGGACACGTAGCTAGCTTGTAGAGGCTAGTAGTATAGGAGGTACATGTTTGTTTGGCGCATCCAACCGATCGAAAGCACACCTCGAAGCGTGTGAATGGGAAGTTTCCTTGAGGAACCCTTCGAAGCGGTGGTCGAAACAGTTCCTATTTAGGACAGCTGTCGTGGTCGAGTTTGGCCGCTATCAATAGCCTTCCTGGTGCGTCCTGGCGAATCTCAGGATCGAGCTTGCCACCACTAGAGCAGGGGGTTCAAGTCCCATCGCCTCTGTGTTGAAGGTTCGCTTCAAAAGCTTCAATTTTTGAGAAGTTCTGCTCGGAATCGAAACGGCTGCTCATCCGGACTGCATGCCGTTTTTCTAGGACAGCAAAACTTTTTGCAAAACACCATCTTTGGTATTCTGCGAGGTGAAACAACAAATGATCTATTCATGTCATGTCTTTAGTCTTTTGCGAGCTTGGCCAGCACCTGTCCAAATCTGATGGTGCTCGGTTCTCAAGATATTTGCCCAGAGCTCAAACAATATCCGTACAGTCTTTGGTCCAGTGATATTGCAGAGAGTGCACAATAGTGAATATATGGCGCCAAAAGCAAGTGCCATGCAGAATCCGTCCATACTCCTGCGGTGCGCGGCAAGCGACTCGTTCGGTGCCGACAGCTCTTTACTCACCGTTTCAGCCAGCTTCCAGTGTCAAGCGAACCAGATCAAACATAACAAACATTCTGGTTAGAAAGACTTGATTAATCTTCACTGTGTCCATCCCACATGGGAGATCTCTTCACGGATGGGCACTCTCAGACCTTGACCGGCAGCTTCTGTGTACATCTTTGAAGACTATATTCTTTACATTGAAGCAAACACCACAAATAATTCAGAAGAATGCTTGCATCCCTAAGAAGGGGGGCAGCCTTTTTTGTTGGGAGGTCAGAAAAAGCTCAAGTTGTTTCATGCAGCTTCACGTGTGTGTGCGCCGATTCAATGTCAGAATATGAACAACACTCGTACGAACGATCCGTCTTCAAGTCGCCTTTAAACAAATGACGCCACCAACACGTGACGCTTGTCACTACACTACTACAAAGATTGGGTCGCGTCAAACGAAAGGGACCGATCCCACATGTTGCATGTTGCTTTTGCAGCCTAATGGATCCAGCTGGAAGAGGGTAAAGCCGGCGAGGATAGAGCCAGCAGCTGGCAGCAGATTTGGATCCAGAGTAGCCCGGTGCAGAATCATAGGCAGCAAACCATAGCAAATACCTAGGATCGAAGGCGTGTCGAATCTAACAACTGCTGAAAATGAATACACCACCAGCGGGACTTTAGTTTGATGATAACCGGAAGGTATACATAAACCTACGCTGCTGCCGAAGAACCCAGCGATCGACCCCAATAGCAAAGTGGTTGCTCACGTGTTCTTTTAAAGCCCGCTCTGCCCCCCTACTTAATTGAGTAGCCGCCTACTTATGCCTACTTAATCAAGGAATAAGCTATTGTGGACGCAGGATAGCTCACGCTTCAAGCGCACTAATGATGTTCCGCCAGTTTTCAGCTCGGACTTGGTCGCCACCACAACCGAATTCACGACCAGCACCAGAGCGCCCACTGGTGGCCGGTGGCCCATGCAAGCACTGTCTAGACTGACGTCTAGCTTGACCCTATTGGGAAAGCGACCGAATGCACTTTTCATAGGAACACAAAGAAGAACCTCTGGGACCAGTATCTTTATGCAGTCGGAATATATGCTCATGGGACGAATGTTACGGGTAATGGCCACAGTAACAAGCTTCCATAGTTAAATCCCCTAAACCAATAAGCCAGTGCCACGGTGCTAACGACCACTAAGCCAGTGCCCAGGCTTTCGCTGTCGCGATATTTCGGACTGGCAAACCACATCATCCAAATCGCTGTAGCTGCCAAAAGAACCTCGGTTGATAACTTCCAAAAAGTCTACCGAAAGCAACAAAATGCTCTGACGGACCATGACTAACTAGAAAAATGTCGGAGAAGGTAAAGTACAACAAACGGTTTCCTAATCACAATTAAGGGCCTGAAGTTGGTTCAAAAACATAAGCCCCGCCAAGCTTGCTGAACCTGGCGTTCCAAAGCAACTGAGCCCATAGTAAAGGCCACATCTTGCGACAGTGCATAGCTCCCCGCAATGCTTGACAATGCAATAAAGCTCCTATGACTTTGAGAATACTATGAGAACTGCAGCACCGGTCGGCCTGAATGGATCTCAATCAGTGAAGCAAGCTCTTCACAAGTGTTTGCTAGTAAGGCACGGTGTGTTTGGCATTCCATCCGATTTGGGCCATCAAATACTCAGACCTTGCACTGTTGCATTATAGCGTTCTTGTACATCAAGAGTCCAATTCTCTAGCAAAGCACTCGCAAAAATGCTCCGCGCTCTTGTTCCAAAGTACAGGGAGTGTTCAAAATAAAGCGGTGAAGGCAAGCCTGGCAAAATGTGTTAAAGTTTTCCTTGGTCCCTGTATCTGTTTTGTCCAGGCATCTCAATCACAGTGTTGCTCCATAGTAGCAAGGGGTAAGGCATTTGAAACCTCGGTCAAGTTGAGACCAGTCCTGTCAAGCTTTTGCAAAACCGGCACCCATCGTCCAGCTGCAGCATGGCCGAAGTGGTTCAGGATGCTGAAAGGCACAGTTCCTGACGTCTACGATTTGTATGCTTCTTCTATTACTAGTAGTGCTTCTTAGTTACTTTTAGTAATGGCCTCCAACCTAATAGCGATGGCCTCCAGCTAGCAGCCTTCTTGCTACTGTTTCAGCAACATGCTCGGTCCATCATGCTTTACATATCTGTACATTGTTTGATGCCTTGCTTCCACTAGGTCTATATTGTTTGGGTGGTGGTGTTCAAGAGAAACTAAACATGGCCACTAATAAATGCAACCCAACCATGCTTCAAGCTTCAATGTACACAGTCAGTGCATAATCCGTGCATGGTTATGTGAACTCGACTGTGTAAATGGGGCCTCTTCTCCTTGATTCTCAAGGAGAATTAGTAATGACCTCCAGCATTGGTGAACTTTGGGTCAAAACATTCGGGTGAATTCCATCTCCAAGGCTCCTCCAATGCTGAGTTGCACGTAGCTAGTACAAACGCCCCAGCAGTTGTGGTTCCAAGGTGTCCAAAAGGCCGTAAGCAATGGTGCGAACATCAGGAGCCCGGCAACCACCTCTGGAGAAATGCGAAGCGGAAAAGATGCCAACATGGTTAGAAATGAAACCAAGGTTCAACTGCTCAGGGACGTCCATTATACACCAAAACGTCAAAATGAACAGTTTGTGAAGGCTTCGAACCTGCGCTAAAGGAAGCAGTGGATGCTTCAAGTATGGTGCAGAGCCCCATTTCCCGCCATGAACTCCTAACCCTTCCCCAACCGGCATGGCTTGAGCCACTGATTCACTGCAGTCTTAGCATGTCAGAAGAACGGAACAATGAGAACGATAGGCGAATGGAAGTACAGACATTAAGACATCCCAAACCTGAGGCTTTTACCATACTCAATGTCAATAGCAAAGGGAATGGCAACGGATGGGAAAGAACACATGTTTGGCCCCAAGACCTGGACTGAGGTTCTTCCAAGGAATACTTGGTCTGAGGGATCACTGCCAGACCGTTTGGAACACACAAGGTTCCGTTCGCTCATCGAACACTTCGAGGAGTTCACTTCGAGGTCGGCGCTTGAACACTTTGGAGAACTCGAACTGAGGCCTCAAAGAACGGTCGAACTGACTCCAGCGATCAATTTTTCAGCTTCATCCCAGCTTCTGTTAGGGCTTGTTTAGGGCTTGTTTAGGTTGGCCATTTGCCATTTTTGGAAAAAACAAAACACAATACAGACTCTCCGCTTCTTGGATTTTTTCTTTGGTTGCCACGAACCTAACCGGATCACTGACCATCACATGCACTGACCCAGACACCATGAAAGCATGGCTGTGCGACAAGAACCCCTTGAAGGATGCATCACCTAATAGCGATGGCCTCCAACCTACACCATGAAGGCATGACCGGGACGGAATATCCCAATTCATTGCCTGCAAGAATGGCACCGCAAGCACCATGAAGGCGCATGACAAGCAGTCAACTTTTGCCAAGTGGCCTTTGCTGTTAGCTCACCCTTCTCAGCCAGTTCTGAAAGTCGCCGCAGCAGTGGGCCAGTTGATTGGAAGATGACCTGCAATCGGCTACAGAGTTTCAGGTATGTCATGTCAGTCACTCAAACCGATTCTAGAACTGCCAAAGATGCGGGGGCACACAGGCATTCCATGAATTGAATCTGGACTTTGGTTTCAATGCTTCAAGGGGCTATTAGGTTGGAGGCCATCACCATTAGGTTGGAGGCCATTGTATTAGGAACAAGAAGCTACTAGGGCTCCTGGCCTTACTACTAGGAGCGATCGGACGCTACGTTCGGGGCTCCTGGCATCGCTACGAACGGAGCAAGAAGGCTAGTAGGTTGGAGGCCGCTATTAGGTTCCGCTATTAGGTGATGAATGCTTCAAGGGGTTCTTGTCGCACGGCCCAGGTGAACCCCCAGGCGCACTTCGGAGAGCACTTCTCCTTCGGGCTCCTGAGCAGTAACATCAGCGCTGCTCTTCTTCGTTGATTGAGTTTAAGGCCTTGGAGTACCTAGTAGCGTCCTTGCTCCTAGTAGTACGGCCAGGAGCCCCTAGTAGCGTCCTTGCTCCTAGTAGCGATGCCAGGAGCCCCTAGTAGCTTCTTGTTATACAGTTCTTGGCAAACTAGAATGCTTTATATCCCCTTTCTCTTCTTTGAACCTTGAAAACCTTGTTTCTATGTGTTTCCAGGTATCTTCTCTTCCTTCTTCAAAGGAGTAGGTAGCAATCTTTATTGCTGCACATTAAGCCTAGCCCTCCTTCAATGGAGTGCACCCACGTGTACCCGAATAATTGTTCGCTGGTGCAGTATTGTTTCATTCTGCTACTTCTCATTCGAAGGCCTTGGCACCGGGAACAATGGTGCTTTTCCCAACTTCATACCATTCCGTCAGCACAGCAGCTTATTTGAACGGGAATGCCGGATTCCACCTTTATTTCCACAAAGGATTCTAGTTGACACAGAGCACTCCAAACTCAAGGTCAGGTCAGAGTGTCTTGTTTCTGGCCAGAATGAGTAGAAAAACTCAAAGCATCGCAGACTTTGATCAAGGCAACTTCCCATAGTACATCAATTCATTGCAATAGTGCAGCATTCCCTCTTTCGTAAGCTTTACTGCTGTGCTTTCATTGTACCAAAGATCCTGCGTCCCTTCAAAAGGTGTCTCCCGGATGGACTGCCCAAGAAATTATCCTGAAGTCAAATCTTACTTGTCTCACACAGAAATCTCTCCCCTCTCTCTCTCTCTCTCTCTTCCTAACCGTGTCTCTTCCTCTCCTGGGCCAAGTTGGGGCTTTGAAGGCGCCTACCATGGATCTTTGCCAAGGCTTTGAACATCGCCACCACCGTCATGGCCGGCATCCTTTGCAGCGGACCGCTGCGACCGGTTGTTCCGAGCCGCCGCAGGAGTTCCGCTTCGGCTTGGCTTCGCACGGCGTCGGGCGCGTCCGCGGCGTCCAGGTGCAGAAGCAAGCCAGGCAAAAGAGAGAAGCTAGCTTCCGAGATCTTCGTGCTCAGAGATTCACACCAAGATTTGCTGAGATGTGGAAAGCCAAGAATCGCCAACAAGATGTCATCTGCGTGGTATGAATCTGCATTAGATGCTGCAAACCAAATCTCATGCACGGCAACAGCTTCTTCCAGGACCATCATCAAACCAGTACCATCAGGAAGCTTCTTTGCCTCCTTAGCGGCTCTGTCCAGCAACTTTCTTTTAGCCTCATCCCACGCGTCATGCTGCACGTGCTCAAAGTGCGTTCTAGCCAAGGACGCTAAAGCCAACTGGCAGCTCGGCGTTATACAATGCACGCCCTCGGTCCATAGGTTCCACAGTGACATCAAAGCCACAAGGCCAGCAGTGTGTCCTAAGGACGAGAATGCTTGAGCTGCCCGCAGCAATTGAAGTCCATCCGGAAAATCTCGCTCCAGTTTTTGATGCGGTTCTGTCATTGCACTCATTGCTTGCGGAAGAGGGATCAATGCTTGTCGAAGGAAGGGCACCATGAAAGCATCGAAATTCTCAGCTGCAGCATATGCTTCAATCAAAGAGATCAGCTCTTCCGCTCTCCATCTGGATAAGCGCTCAGGCACAATCTCAGCAGCAGCTGCCAGCAATCTAGGATCTACAAGGCCTAAGTGGTCGATGGCTTGTAGCAAACGACTTGCCTCTTGAGGTCTTAAGAGTCTTAACTCACGAGCTAAACGATTTGTGATTTGTATCAGAAAGTGTTCACGCTCTTCCAAGATCTCTTGCTCTGTGGTGTCCGTGCCATTGGCATTCAAAGTCTGGAAGCAAAGTGCAAATGACTCTAAGACAGGAGGCAAGGAAGTCGTCTGCAAAGCACTCAAGTCGGCCAAAACTTCGTTTTGAAATGCTCGAATGACATTGAAATCATCGAGGCGCAGCTTTCCCATCGCCAAGACCACAGTGTGGAGTTGCGGAGCTTCCAATTCCTTGACTCTAAAGGCCAACGTTTCACTCAAGGCTTTCACAGCCACTGGATGTTTCATTGCGCACTTTGCAGGACTTGGCCAGGGAGATGGAGTGTTCTCACCCAGAAGCGAAAGACTATGAAATAGGTCCAAACAAATGTCCAGTCGGTTGCTGGAAATGCCTTGAGATGCCCACGTTTCGACCGACAGGAGCAAGTTTGGGCAGTAAAATTCCAAGTCTGCAAATGCTTTGACAACCATTGCGAGGCCCTTGCCATTCAAACGGCCCGAGCCCAAAGCTTCTTGCGCTGACACGGACAACGCTTGCAAAACGGGCACGTTGCGAAGCTTCATCCGTGCAAAGGCTTGAGCAGCTGTAGCAACATGGGAGGCCTTCATGCGAGGTGCAATCTTCACCACCGGATTGCTCAGAGCTTTTCCCAAGGCTTCATCATGCCAGTTGAAGGCCCCGAAGGCCCAACATGCTGCTGTCAACTGCCGAGCCGTCATGGCCCCGGCCACATCCCCCATGGCCAAAGAAGCACGTTTCCAGAAGTCTTCGTTCTCCACATCCATTTTGGACGCGATGAAAACCGTTTGTGAGACTTCTCCAGGTGTCATATCTTCAAAGCGATGCTCTAAGAAGTTTCCTTCGAAACGAAGTCGCTTCCAAGACTTGGCACTAAGAGGCCTTTCGTAATGCTCGTATTCATCCAGGCGTTTTCGGCGTCTTGCAAATTGCCGAACCTGCAAAGAAACGCATTTTCGGCGGAGTGTGCGCAGTGGCTGTAGCCACATGGCTTCACATCTTAGGTCTGACCCTAGAACAGCTGAGAATCAACAACGAGGCTGTGTAAACATAGAAAGATGACTGGCTATCGCTTCTAGGCCATTGCTATTAGGTTCCTTAAAGTGTTTTTTTCTATGTGTGATTCAAAGGATGACTGATGACTGGCTTATTTCACGTTAAGAAAGACCTGCTGGGGTCCCTGAGAGCCCGCTTCCGCGTTCCCTCACCTCACTGATCTTCAATGGCCGTGGCTCACTTGCTGATTCTTCAACACATCCAAAAGCGATGGCCTCCAACCTACTAGCGATGGCCTCCAACATAGAGGAACACATCCAAAATTTGAAGAATGAAATTGTGGATAGAGAAAGTGATTAGAAGCACCTTGACACAAGCAACACAAGCCTGAACGGCAGCGCCATATTGCAAGACTCCCTTTTCTCTGGCAGCGCCAGTTTGGAGGTGACATTTGCTGAAGAAACTCAGGATTGAACTACGAATCAATGCATCATGAATATCCGGTCCTGACAATGCGGGTCAGATTCATGACAAATGCCCTTTCTGAGGGCTTGCTCGCATTTGTTCATCGAATTCACACGTCCTTTTCTTTTGTGGTCCGCAATAGATCTTCAGTCCTGGATGAGGTAGCAGGCGACAGAGTTGGCCACAGCGGTGCCAGAAACCTTCCGGACAAGAAGACTCGGAACAAGTGTTTCTCCACCTTAAGAAAAAACACTTTAAGGAACCAAATAGCGATGGCCTCCAACCTAAAAGCGATGGCCTCCTACCCAAAAGCGATGGCCTCCTACCTAAGAGCGATGGCCTCCAACCCAAAAGCGATTGCGATGGCCTCCAACCCAAAAGCGATGGCCTCCTACCCAAAAGCGATGGCCTCCTACCCAAAAGCGATGGCC